TTTCAGTTTTGTAAAGCATGAATTAAAAATTGCTCATAAAAATTATGCATTTTGGCAACTCTTAATAGCTAATTCCTTGGTTATTTATAGATCTGGAAATTTTGATTTTAGCAAATGCAACTTTTTTTTGTTGGCATTTTGGAGGAGCGGGGGGTCAGGACATCAGCAGGGAAACACAAGACGATTTCCATTAGGCCGCTTATTTGCTATGACGGCCAGGTGCCTTCAGATCAGGTGAACTGAGAAACACTGATGTTCCGAGCAAGCTTTCTGTCTGGAGTCTCTGCCAGATCACATAAAGCCTGCACGATGTCTGCATAAAACAGCATGCAAATTCAGGGAAGGATCTTTGAACAAAAAAGAAAGTATATGATCTATATTGTGCCCATGTCAGATGCAGACACTGATTCACTACAGCACAGAAGTTTGATCAAAATACAGTCAGGATAGCTATATATATCACAAGCATAATACTATTCAGATTTCAGTACCGTATCAGCACTCGTTCTGTGTGTGCATATGTTTCGTGGAATGCGTATGTGTATCCCTCTAACTGAAAAAATACAATTTCCTCATCATCAAGAGCAAAATTATGTAAAAGACATTACAGACAGGGTGAGCTGTGGGGTGCATACAAATATCTTCAAAAAAATTCAAAATAGTAACACGATGCACGTAAATGGCTATGTCCGTAAGTATCACAGACTCTGGATGTATTCCATGAAAATATTGCATGTGCCCTACAAAGTATTTTAAGATATAATAAAACATGAGATTCAAGATCCTACTATACATCAGGCCTGGATTTTCTCATCTATAATGCACTGGCTATTGGCTGTCCTGAGAGTTATGCTGGCTATACTATGGGGGAAGAGAAAAGAATGAATACCTCGCTTCAGAGTGCTTTTGCAGTGGTTTGATAAAGTGCAAAAAAAACCCCAAAAAAACAAAAACCCTCAAGACTGTTTGTGAATACTAACAACAATCATTTAGAAAATCTTTTTGGAGAAAAAAAATCATGTGAGATAATACCAGTAGAAAAGTCAATGTCATTTGATCACTGCCATATTTTCAAAGCAGTGCCCAGATACTAATTAATCTCTACAATCTCTTCGTTTGGTAGGTGACTTGCTATCTTCATTTCATGGAAAAGGTTACAGGAACTCAAGATAAGGAACACATCTAAATGTTCAAAAGCACACAGTGAGTTTGTTCCAGAATTATCGAAAGAATTTCCAGCTTTTTCTGAGGCTAAAAGCCCTTGTTGCTCTCCTCTCCCTCATAAAAGCTTACCTAAATGTATATTAATACAATTTAATGTAAATATATATTAATATAAATACAGTCTGTAATATTTCAGTTATTTTAACTGTGGAAGTAATAGAGACTTTTACACTAAAAACCAAAACAGAGCAAAACTGTGAAAGTGAAGTATGAAAACGCTACAACTAAGCCTGAGTAGAGAGACGGAAGGACTAAGATTAAAGAAATAAATGCAACAGGCCTTCCTGTCTGATCACTTTTGAGCAGCTTCCAACAGAGTGAGGCAGAGTAGAGCTTCTGTGCAAGGGGCTGGAAATAAAAATTGATGGTAGAACAATTTCTTTACAACCTTTTGGAGACTAAAGAGCCAAAACAGGGGGAAACCAAGATCTAGGCCACTAGTGAGATGCATCAATTTAATGGAATGCACAAGACGGCCCAAAATTGAGCCCTAGACTAAATTCTAAGTTACCTTCCCCATCAAAGGAGGGCTGGAGAGGAAGCAGGGATGAAGCGAGCCGTGCGTGTCAAACGCAAGAAGTCTTTCACCCAGCATCTATGTATGCTGCTAGTCTCTAGCAATAAAATCTGCAAACCTGAGGTAAAGCATGAAAATACACACTACAGCACACAATTCAGAAAAGATCTGGCTTTTCCATGTGAAATTTGCAGTGTCCTTTTACCTTGCCTGCTTGATACCAAAAAATTTGAGGCTAACCCTCTGGACGGATGCTTGCAATTCCATGGCAATTCAGAGCCATGCATTTGTTCCAGTCCGTCCCGAGGACTCCAAGCCATGTTAACAGGGATGCCCCGTGATGCGGGCTCATACAGCAACTGATAGACCTGGCCTTCAGGGGTGGCCACAGCAGTCACAGAGTGAGGCAATTACAGCAGTGTCAAAAGAGACCGTGTATTCAGCTCTCCTAATGAGAGCAAGAGCCACAGTGGTATTCTAGTGAGGAAGGCATGCAGAGTTCATACCTGTGCACCCCAAGGTTTTAGTTGGAGAAGAAAGCAAATGGCAAAAAAAAAAAATAAAAAAAAGAAAACCCATTCAAGTACATGATGCTGTTAAGTTTCCAAGACTCTATAATTAAGACAAACTGGATATCAGAGTTTATTTGCTCACGCATTTTCAAGCTATTAAATATATCTGCACTATAAAAATAGTTTGTTTGGGGTTTTTTGCAGTACACAGAATGTCAGTATTCTGAATAAATATGACCAATTTTTTACTGCATGAAATGCAAGATTAATTAAGAAAATACAGTAAATTCTAAGTGAGGATGATGATTCTCAGTCTTCCATGTTTAGATGAGGCTTTGGAGATGCCACACATTGAGCACAGCAACTTAAATGCTTTACAACAAAGCCTTCCATACCTACACAAATAGAGCACTGCTAATGACATTGACAGAAAACGATAACTACTCTCGTTTCCACTTTGAGTCATTTTTCTGTGGTTAATAAATTATATCCATAACAGTGTTAATAAGTTATGGCACGGTGTCATTGCATTAGTTTGCATTTGTGATGAAGCACTTCATAGGGCATTACCTGTGCCCGTGGAGGTACATAACGGGAGAGACCACTTCTCTGCTCTCAGAAGAGTCTCCCACGCTGGCATTTTGACTGACCCTCTAAGAAAACATTGCCTCCCGACCTCCAACTTGCTCTTACTTCTCACCTCTGTTGCTGAAGCGCACCACTGAGGGGCAATCCTCCAGATTTAATATGTTTAACAAAACACAGACACTCTTAAATCAGTGTCCTTGCCATAGGAGCGATATACGAGTAGTTATCAGTTTGGCAAATGTGGGAAGCATTCGGATCAATCTAGTCATCTGAAAAGGACGCAGTCAGATCAATGTGTCCTCCCTCAAGCTCCCAGATGGAAATGGGAAGATTTAGCCTGACTGATGGGCTCTCGATTAACCACTGTAACAGCTTGTTTTTCCAAAAGTCACAAATAAATAAATGTATTTTAAGCTTAATATGATTTGGTATTTAAAAGAAAAAGGAAGAGGAGAAGCTATTTAAATTCCTGCAACCCAACTACCGCAGCACTGGTGAAGAAATAGATGAAAAAACGAGCAAGCATGCTTTTCACAACAGCAAGAAGCTCACAGCTTTAAGTATATTGTTTTACAGATAAAGAAGTGCAAAACAGTAAACAAACAACACCTAATCAGTATTCTGTAATCTGGGGTTTTGGTCATCTCAAGTGCTAATTTCAGGCTCTGTTATTAGGCAAGATGTTTTCTTCTCCATGAAAATTATTATTGAAAAATCAGCATAGTTTAAAAACATTTTAAAATAGTGTAATTATTGACTTCTCTCCAAGTACCATGATACTGTCTCTAGTGCAGTATTCCTTTTAAAAACTTTTTTCTCCTTTATGATTGCATCATCTACATATATACAGAAGCTGCTATGTGAAACACGATGCCAAAACAGAAATGAAATATCCTATCTCGATAGAATTTACTTGCTTTCCATCAGTACCAAGTAAAAACCAGCACTATTAGATTAAAATGGAGAAAAATCCCAAATTATCTGCAGCCTCCATAAGCCAGCAGTGCAAAAGCTCACATGTTTTTGTAGTAGGTACGTACAAGATAACTTTACAGGCATATTACTGGAATGGTTTGCAACCAGTGAAGACAATTTTGATTATTTCCACTTCAAAACTTCCTATATTGGAGCCACATCACGGAAAACAATCTAACCATAGGGGAAAAAAAAGTGATGGGAAAACTGCCTGCTAATATAGCCGCTGGAAAGACAGGCAGAGGAAGAGAGTAGTGCGCTATAGATTTGCTGAAGTCTTTCAGAGACAAAGACTCCAATATTCTCAGCGAGAGAAATAAAATCCCCATAAAAATACCTTGACTTCCTTAATTTCCCTTTTCCCCTCTCTACCACAACTAGCATCATTTATTTGTATACTGAATTTGTCTCCACTGCACCACAACAAAACACATTTTAAAATTTACAAGGTAAAAATAAATACGATGTTCCCACCACAGCTTCATTGGACGCCGTACTGCATAGAAGAATAAATTGCGCCTTCACAGTAATTTGACAAAAGAATGACAAAAAGAACGGCGAAAACGAACAATACAGCTAAGGCTTGAGAAAAGCATCCGTTCAATATTTAGCAATGCATAAAATGAGGTTTCATTTTTGTTTAGGTGTATTTTGATTAGAACTAATAAATGGCTGATTTTCCTTTGGTTGTTTGCAACAACAACACATTATCCAGAGAGCTTTATTCTTTATTCCCTTCTCATATAGCATGCCAAAGACTGTCTCACTTTATGAATTAGCATTTAAAACTACTGTAGGTTATCTAACAAGCATTCAGATTCAATAGTACTTCTGACAGCAGTAAGTAAAGAGCCTTTTAACATCTTGAACACATGTTCTTGAAAAAAGTAGTTACATCAAAGCAGTTCAAAGACTGAAGAAAAAAACCAGTTAAAATCCAGTTTGCTGTGAGACAATTTTAGTGTGGTGTAAACAACCTTTCACGACTCCCCATGGGAAACGTTGTGAGACTATGTTCAAAATGAATCAGACGTATTTATAAAGATCATGAAGTGGTCAAATGAATTTGCATTTTTGGCAGATTCACTCCACGGGTACTACTTGCTACAGTCTGTAGAAATCTCAAATCTCACATCAGCATTGCCTATAGTGCTTTATTATTTATTACATGTTATGCTAAGTACCTGTGAAAGGGGACATTCCTTGGCCAATGAACTCTGGTTCATATCCTTCAGTAAGTCCTTCAGAGCATTTCTTACTGTTGTGTGAGACCATTGTTCAGGAGGCAAGTCTTCTAGTTTAGGGCAACTATTTGAAACACAGATTAGAAAAGGGATTATTACAAGATTGCATCCTGCTGCAGAACATTCCTTTAAGACAGACAGATTTCATTTTGCGCATCAAGCAGATGCATCTGGAGATTGCTCTCGGTCTCCTGATTGTTCCGATTAGTTAATTACTTTATACAACACATCTGCTGTATTGATGCATGAATTATACATCAGCTGCATGTGGCGACTATTTTTTCATGTTACTTCTACCTTCCTGCTCTGATGCGCTTGGTAAAACAATTTAAGGTGTAATGCTTTCTCACGACTGATCATGAAAAGCATTAATATATTAACTAGTTTTTTTCTTTTTTGTTACTGTGAAATTTAAGAACCTAGACAGCAACAATAAGTGTGAGCAAGTCATTCTTTTACAAAATGCACACAGATGGTACTGTTCATGATATGCAAAAATATTTTTCTCTTAAGTAAACTTTATGTAAAATGCCTTCTTGCAATGCATCATTTAATTGACTAAAATGCAATATACTTTTAATGAGATATCCAAAGAAAATCTATGTATCAGAGCTATAAAAGTTTTCTGCAACAGTATACTGTAAGTTAAAAAGAATTAGAGTAACTAAAAAGGAATTTAGATAAGCCTTTGTACTTCGAGCACACAGCACAGTGGGAATTAAATACAAGCAATATTAACAGTAAGAGCAGAGAAGTAACAGTTCACATCCCAGAACTGGTATGCAACTTACCTGTGTAACTGGATTTTCAGTGTGACCACATGATACACATCTTGCAGCATGTCTGCTACTGTAGCATCAGGGGCATCTGTCACATAGGAGAGTGGAACTGGATTCCACTTCCCAACCTGGATAAGCCCTGTGGGATTTTTATTTTTTGAGGGGAGGGAGAGTGGGCAAGAAGGGCAGGAAAAATTGAAAAAAAACCTTAATTTACCTGTTAATTCCTAGGGGCAAAAGAAATACCTGATTTTAACAAGATCACCACCTTTGTATCTAGCTGCTTAAATCTGGCAAAACAAAAGAACACCCCTCAAAAAAACCCCACCCACACACCACCAGGGATATGCTTTATCTGTATTATGAAATCATACAAATGCATTACAGCAGAGATTTTTTTAATATGTATAGAAGTGTATTTTCCTTAGCATTCCTTTTAAAGCAGAAAGGATTTTGCAATGCAAGGGCTGAGTACAAAAAAGAAAAAAAAATACTTTGCAGTCTATAAAACCATCAGGAACAAAATAAAAGAAACAGAGCTGGATATTCAGTCATAAACGCAAGTTGACTCTCAACAGTCCATCTGCTCAAATATGCTTTACACTTCCTTGTGGATCCTCAGTGGAGCAGATTATTAAGGTCAATAAGCATACTAATGATTCAGTTGAAGTCTCTTTTTTTCTTTAAAAAAAAAAAAAGAATCTACCTCCACATTCCCCACGAACAAAACGTGCACTAACTAAACAAAAATATGCTAAGGAAAAAAGATAAAAAACTCAGAGACAGAATCTGCAAGAAGTTTAAGAAGTAAAACCTTCATCGCTTTCCTGAAAGAAATCCTGCCCCTCCCCCAAGACCCCACAAACAAACATAATTCATCGTACAGTTTCGCTATCTTATTTACCTTTTGCCTGGGCAGCAGAGCTGTGAGAATATCCAAGTGATAGCAATGCCATTTCAATCAGTTGGTTGAAAAGCATATCCTTCCTCACCAACACAAATTCTGCATGCTCCTCCTTAGAATCATACTCAATGGCATTTTCATAATGTTCCACTACACAGAAAACTGGAAGCATACTTCCTATTAAAAAAAATTAAATTTAACGTATTAAACTTGAGTTATAGTAGAGTACGTGGGTCTACACAGTGTTATGTAAATAAAACCTGTACAAACAGGCAGAGGAGGCATCAAGAATCATCACAAATATTTGATAAACATATTCCCTGAGCCCTTTCCCCTCACCCTCCCCAAAAAAGAGAAAGTTCTACAAAACATACATCTCTCTGAAAAGCAGAAATGCAAATTTATCTCGCTTGATCGGATACAGATTAAAGAATTACCTTCTATAGAAACAACAAGGTTGACTGAAGAGAAGTTGATTCTCTCTGTCCTGCCTGATTTGTTGTGAGTAGCAGGCAGCACGAGAACCTAAATACATACTGCAGATGTCTTCACTTGTAAGCCATTTTAGTAGCAGCTACATAATTTTGTTTGTTAACATTAAAACTTCCTTAGTCCTGCCAAAAATATTTAATTGCCTTCAACATAAACAACAAATCACCTTGTGAGTTACACATTCGCTCTGGAAAGAGTACACAAGGAAACAAGGCAAAAGTTAACACTAATTCGTGCCTCGTTCACTGAGTGCACTTGAGCTCTACTTTCACTTGCATCTTTAAGAAACAAATCATGATTTCACTATCATTTTCAGAAGTGTACCTGCAGTTCGGGCTTTTTTTGTTGTTGGCTCCTGCACTTTACATTCCACATTTCTGGTATTCCTTGCTATTTTGGTATGCCTGAAAGTAATTACTAATTTCTAGTCGTGTAGCATAATACGACAAACCCTCCCCTACGCTGCACAGAATATTATGCAATATTCTTAATATTGCTTAAAAAAAGCCAAATCTTTTTCCTTTTCCTTTGGCTTTTTATTTTTGTTTATTTCCTCCCTTCTGACAACAGAGAAGTAACAAATGGCCCAAGCTGTTTTAGGGACAAAGTCTCTCCCGGCAACCAGATTTCTAGACTTTGTGAAAATCCCTCCCGGCCTCCCAGACTGATGTGATGACATGATGATTCGGACCCACGGTTCAGGGCCCTGGCCCTGTTCCGCTGTCTCCAGCGGCGCAGGTTGGGAGCTCTTAATGACAGAAAGCAAAAGGGTTAAAAGCAGATGTACAGAACTGTCTTATGGCAGCCTGCCAGAAGGGTATCATCTTTAGCATAAATGATGACAAGGGTTATTTTAACAGGGCACCCAGGAACTCCAATTAGTCCTACAATGTTAATGCCTCTATAACCACTGCCCTCTAGACTTACGGAAACCTCCTAACCTGCTAAGGTGCACCAGGCATGCTGTACTCTAAAAAGAAGATTTACTCTTGACAATACATAATCGCTTTAAGACCGCGTCTGTTGATTTGTGCTTTAACATATAGCAAGAAATCACGATAAAAAAAGATACCTCTTAAGCACGTATATTTGAACTACATCTGTTCACCAGAGAGTCATTCTCTGGCAAACAAACCCCTTCAGGCTCGCTTGGAAAAGCTCACAAACTCACTCCGGTTTGACCAATAGGCTCAGCATGAAAGACAAGACTAAAAGCTTGCCAATATTTATGTAGTGCAGGAAGGAACTTTTTTTTGTCTTTTTTTTTTTTAATCTAAGTGAGACTGGTCAGGAAGGGAGAGAAGACCAAAGCAAAAGTAGCACATGCAAATTGATGATTTCTTCATCGGTTTTAATTCAGCTGTGGAGAGCTTTCTAAACCACACACACACTTCATCTGCAAAAAGGTGGTGGGGTTTTTTTTATTCTTCCCTTCCAGGCTCTCACAACTGATGTTTGACCTACTACCATCTGACTCCGAGTAAGGGCTCAAAATTCTTAAGTAGTTTCACCGTTAATACCTGAAGACAAAATGTAAACAAAGCTTCAATTTAACAAACGGTGCAGATACATTCAAATCCAGCTAAATCGTACACGGTTTTCCCCTTGTCAGTTCCTAAAAATTAAGCTATGATCAGACACAAAACTAGCAACGCGCAGGTACTTCGCTGCACGTCAGCACACTTTTTGCCAGGTACACAGTCTCATGAGTTGCAGCATTCTGAAAAATGTGGTACTTCAAACAACATGGGAGAAGCTCCTGGCCAAATTCTGAAGTTCAGTGTAGATTATCAGAGGTGGATCCTGGTAGTGCGACACAGGGTATCATCTGACTACAGATCAAGCCACTAAATCTTTTAGCAAAGTGTCACTGGTGTCCTTCCGTTAATGTGAAAAATGTTATACAGGAGAGCACAATCTCAGCTGGCTGATTACTCCTGCTAGTACTTGGCAAGACCTCCAAGTGCAGCCACTCCATAACCTTCTAGTATTAAAGGGGAGAGCATTGGTCAGTGCTCGCTGCTAAAAATACAGCATGATTTAAACCTGAAGGCAATGTTAGAGCTTTTGCTGAAGGTTTACGAGTCTGTGTAAACAGCACGTCTGCCATAAGGAGCAGCGAAGTCTGTAGAATCCTTGTCTAAAACTGTCCTGGCATTAAAGTTTGCTGTGCAAATATCACATAATACCAGAGACAGCTGAAATCTCCTATTTAGGAATTTATGGAACTTATATGTTTGCAGGCGTCAGAAAGTCCTTTTTATGTAGCCCCACTGCTTCACTGTACAATATTAATGCACTCTGCTTGAAAAGCCGTAATAAATTATATTTTTAATGCTCTTACCCTGGCTTTCTTAAGATGCATACATTCTTGGCAAACAATCAATAAATAGGGTAATCATGAGCAGAGGCCAAAGAATTTGCTGAAGTGCTGTTTTTCCATTTTTAATAGATAAAGATCTAACAATACGGACTGCTGTGTCTGTTCATTTCAGGATCAATATATTCTTTGTTTTCGCCAAACCGAGGAAAAAATAAATGATTGTACGATAAATGTTATGCATCAGACACAATGAAATTCCTCTGCCTTCTAACTTTGTGCGTTTAATAGTCTTGGTTGCATTTTGCACTTTGCTTAGCAAATGCAAGAAAAATCTGGATTATAAACATACACCGATTATACTGAGAAAAGTAGAGGCTGTTTTAGCACAAATGCCAAATTTCATGCAGCGTATTTTGATTTAAATTAGCAAGCCTGCAGGACATGGTCGAAAAGACAGATTTAGATAAGCAAAATTTACAGATTATTGTCCATTAGAAGTATTTTCAATGCAAACAAAAGCCATCCATATACAAACATCAATGATTCTAAATGTGCCTTTTCCTTGTGTAAATGTCTAATTACAGCAAACCAGCCACTGAAAAATATGACACCCAAGTTGTTCATTGTTCAATAATGAATTGTACTTAAGAAAATAAACTGCGAAGATTGACATCATAAATGACTTTTCCAATGTGATACCTAAAGATTTACACTCTCTCCTCTAAACCAACTTGCAACTGTTATGGAAATACTGTTGCCCTTCCAAGCTTGGACCATCATTAAGTGGAAAGGCGAGAATTTGTTTTGGGGGTTCGGTATTTACTCTTACACAGTTTTGCATTTCTTAGCCCAACACTTGCTCAAAGAATTAATACATTACATTACTTCTATTTCAATGTAGGAATTTGCTTCAATCAAGGCAGCTAGCCTTTACCTTAACAAAAATCAGACTCCACCCTGTAAAGCAAGATGCTCCACCCAAGCATGAAGCTTACTTTTCCCAAATGTGATTTATATCGGAGTTGGTAATATATAGTATTTTAGAATGGAGATTTAATCCTGAAATATAAATGAAGTAGAGTCTGCAAAAGTATGCTTCCCCCCCCCAAATATTATAAATCGTATTTCTCTAATGCAGAATTATCAAAAGTGTTACCTTTTCTAATATTAGTTTTCATCAGGTGTCCAGAGTGTTTTAAAGGCACTCCTTGCATTTTAGTTCCTGTACTTCCAAGTCTTCCTCTTCCTAATGGGCTCCCATTCTGTTCCAAGCGCGCAATTTTGGCTGGTGGACCCTTCGGATCGCTTACATTGTTAGACATTTCTGAATGTTCTTTCCCCTGAGTTGCCTCGTTCAAATGATCCATACTCAGTCCCGCCTCTAAAAAAACCCTGCCATGATTAAAAAAAAAAATATATATATGTTGTACACGTGTGCGCATATGTATACGTACACAGCCTGCACATGTACGAAGAGAGAGATACATATGTATCGTAAGCTCATAAAGAAGAATAAAAAAAACTATTTTAACTGGAAAGAAGATGCCTTCTTTAAAAGAAACCTTCTTCAAAAGTGACCTCATACCCCAGTTTACAGAGAGATCGCATCATAATATGCTGGAATTATTTTTTAAAAGCCAACTACCAAAGTACCCCTTTAAAAAAAAAATCTTCAGAGATATTCTACTAAATCTGAGAGAGACTAAGACTCATATAAATGATGATGCTTGTCAAGGTATGTGCTCCAACACAGCTATTGTTACAAATCTCACAGAAAGGTTTGTTCTTAATCCTGGGTGTTTTTATTGCGTTAAGAGAGAGAAAGAGAGAGACAGAGAAAGAAAAAGATTCTAGTGAAACACTTCTCAATCTACTTGATTAAAAAATGGAGATGAACAATAGAGAGATTGTTAAAACTTCAGTTGAGGGAGCAAAAGATTTACTAGAGATGTAGAATATTACCCATTTACAATTCCTCCCCCTCTTAAAAACAAAAGTTAGAAGAGAATTTAACATTTAACTTTGCAAAGCAGTGGTGGGAGATAGCTACTTTTGAGTTTCCTGACCAGTATTATACAGACTTTATCAACTTTTGCAAAGTTCAAAATATGCATATGAAATTTTTCAGATGTTAAGCTTGAAGTGTTAAATGGAGTAATTTACTGAATTAAGAAAAATAACTGAGAAGAGAAGGTAGCATCTCACAAAACATAATTCTGGGAAAAAAACCCACAATTTCTCTAGTACTTTTGAAGGCCTTAAATATTAACAGAAAAAAAAAAGGTGATGCTAAGTTACGTGCTGACACAGGTATTTGAAACCAAAAAACAGAAGTAATTTCAACAGCAGATTAAGAAAAGGTATATGTTATCATGGTTGTATTTCCTTTTTTATAAACTTTTGAAACATCTGTCCATGAATAACAATTCCAGTTCAGTCACTAAAAATCTCCCAAGCCTAGAACATAACGGAGTAAGTTTCGATGAGTGACAAAAATCCTCAAATCTGTTTTACCAACCATATATAAAATAAAAATATCAGTTGTTGAGAACAGAGACTTCTTTCTGGTTATGACTTCATTCATCAATACTGTTGTGATTGTTAGGTATTTTATCCTACCTTTCTCTGACTGAGAAGGTAGACTACACTGACAATAACGTTATGTATATAATAGAATCACTGAGGACAGGTGACTAGACATTAATTTACCAGCTAGTATTTACATTATCAGCAAGTACAAATACTAATACCGGGCAAGTCATATTTAGAAAGACCGGTGTGAATCTGATAATTGCTACTTTCTTTCAGTTGCCTAGTAATTCAGTACATTTTCTGCACATTTCACAGGAAAGCTACTGAAGCCTAAACATCTCGGGATTTTTTTATATACTTCTATGTCGCTGGTATGTACGCCAATGACAAACCTGAAAACTATTTTTTTCTTGTTTGAACACCACGCTGCTTTTCCCGATACGATGAAGAAAGAGGTGATATATATTAATCTGAGCGTTTACAAGCAGCCTCAAGAATGCCACTGAAAAACTGAAGTTCAGAAAAATGTTATTTTTCATTATGCTGTAAGTTGACAGGCTAAGGTTTACCATTCATCTTGATCCCATCTGTTTTAGGTCGTGTGCCTCACTAACAGTAAACGTGTCTATTTTAGCCACTTTTTCAAAAGATATTTTTTTTTTAATGTGTTAACTGCAGCCTAAGCAAAGAATTACAGACTCAAACCGTTAACATCTTCTGATGTTCCTGACGATGCTAACACACTATAAGGCTGCTTTTCTGAGACTTGTCTCTCTCAAGAATAAGAGGATTAACAAAAAAAAGAAAAAATAAGGCGGGGGGGGTGGGTAAAACAAAACAAAAAAAGCCTCAAACAAGAAAATCCCTGTCACTTTAGCAACTTCAGAAGTACTCTAAGGCACTGAGGTTCTTTGCTACAAAAAGTATCTAGTCATCATGAGTCAGAATCGCACTACATCATGTATAGTGAATAAAAGTGATAGATCGTAGTTTAGTTAATACGCTGACTACAACCCAAACACCAAACCGGTCATTTTCGCTTGGCCTGAGAATACCCACCCATCGGCATCCTTTCACCGCTTAGTCATCTTGTAAAAGGCTTTATGCTACAAAGCAAAATTACATGCACATAAAACACCTAATTTACTCATTTAAACTCCATGCCCAAGGCTAAAGTTCACTGAAACCTCAGTTTGGAATAGTGATGAGCAACACCCAGCGTGGCCTGCCCAGGGAGAGGGTTGCAGGGAAGAGCCACCCTCTCCGCCGCTTCCAGGCCGAGAGTTGCCCCGGGTTTCGCATTTAGGCATCTTTTCACAACTACAAGTTTTCATCACAGGCACCGAGAGAAGAGCACAATTTCCAGGCACCGTTTCCCAGAGACGGCGTACACGTACGGGCACACCGCGCAATTTCTGAATGAGAGTCGGTGCGGTATCTCCTTTTGTCGCGATGTAACGCCGCCGGTATTATATTATTTCTTTCTCTCCTCCTGAATCAGCCCCCTCCCCATGCCTTTCCCCTCCTCTTCCCTCCCTCCCCCATAAAAACCCATAATCACATTTGAGAGAGGCTCCGCACTTATCCGTTCCATATGGCTCTCGCAATCCAGGCCAAGCTTTCCCTGTGACCTTTTAAAGAGACAAAGAAGCAAAGTACTTATCTAGAAAGAGAAACACTGCAGTTTTCTGAGTGAAATTAGCAAAACCGACCCGAAACTCACCACTTCAAAACTTGACAGCACATAAATAACAAAAACAAAGGAGGTTTCCTTTGCAGCCCGAGCTCTTGAAGAGGAAGAAGTTCCCTCCCGCCCCTGTCTGGTGGGGTGGGGGGGGGGGGCAGCAGACCTGAGGACTACTTCCCCTAATACTCTCTTATTTTTGTCTTTTTTTCTCGTTGCTATTTTCCTCTAGGCGGGGAGGGGCAAAAATAGATAGCGAGAAACAGAGTGGCCATGAGCAAAAATGGCAATGGACAAAAAATACAGATTAAATATCTTTTGAGAGGCAGTTTTCGAGGTTTATCAACGGAAGGAGCTGAAGATCAAATTGACCAGACAAGTGTAACGCTCAAAACGAAGAATTCAGAATAATAATTTAAAAAAAAAAAAGTAGCAGGTTTAAATTGAGG